AAGGGTCTCTAGAGATCTTTTGGCAGTGAACATTCCTTCCCACGTTGTCCTTTAGTGCAATAAGTCATAAGTCACCTTAAGACAATATTGTTGACTTAGAAGTTTCCCAGGTCCTTGAGGAAGATAAAGATGTTCTTGTTAGTAATTACAACTCTTCTTTCCCAAGTCCTTGAGGAGGAGAAGGATGTTCCTGTTGGTGTCCACAACTCTTCCTTATCTACCATTCATGTAGATAGAACAACATCTACGAAAGCCTTGCTATCTATCTATCTATCTATCTATCTATCTATCTATCTATCTATCTATCTATCTATCTATCTATCTATCTATCTATCTATCTATCTATCTATCTATCTATCTATCTATCTATCTATCTATCTATCTATCTATCTATCTATCTATCTATCTATCTATCTATCTATCTATCTATCTATCTATCTATCTATCTATCTATCTATCTATCTATCTATCTATCTATCTATCTATCTATCTATCTATCTATCTATCTATCTATCTATCTATCTATCTATCTATCTATCTATCTATCTATCTATCTATCTATCTATCTATCTATCTATCTATCTATCTATCTATCTATCTATCTATCTATCTATCTATCTATCTATCTATCTATCTAAACTTTAATACTGACTTCGGTTACAGCCCAGAGAGGTGCAGGCTGTTAAGGATGTATCCAGATTAGAATAATACCCAGATTCCTCCCCATCTGTTTAATATAGGTATAAAAAAATAGGAGATCAACCAATCAAACGTCCAGATTACCAATATATGAATGATTTATTAAGCATCTAGATATTTGCTAATGGATAAAAACATTTATAGACTTACTAATAGCAAGAGCAATAATAATATAGATAACACTCAACAACTGCAATTAAAGTGACTGGCAGTGCCATATCATAGAATCACAGACTGGTTTGGGTTGGAAGGGACCTTAAAGCTCATCCAGTTCCAACCCCCCTGCCAGCAGCAGGGACACCTTCTTCTCTTTAGTCCTGTGTGGTTTAGGTAGCGAGGACCTCTTGTGTGTACAGACAGGAAAGCAGGACTGCGTGGGTCTCATATAGTCTTCTGTTGGCCCTTTAAGATTACAGGCGGCTTCAGCCTTGAGCAATTAATTCCTGACTTTGAGTGAAAAATAAAACAAAGCAGACTTAGAAGCAAGAATGTGTATGAGACAAGATAAGGGATGATTGTGTGCTGCAATTAGCAACCAGTCAGAAGTAAAAGAATGGCCCGTGGACAGGTGGAATTATCCAATCAAGCATTGTAACCAGGCGTGTGAACAGTAGATTTTAGGCAATGAAGAGTTGTTTGTGTGTGTGTGTGTGTGTGTGTGTGTGTGTGGTAGCAGCTTAAGAGTATGTAAGTGATCGTGTAACCGATAATAAACGTCTCCAGTGGGATTCACATTGAATCGTGTGGAGTCTGTGATTCGTTGCTCTCGCAGTCTTCTACGGAAAGAGGTTCTCTTCTGTAAGCAGAAAAGATCTGTCCCATCTCTTTGTATCTCCTTGACATATCAATAGTACATATTCCATGTTCTGGCAACACATGAGCATAGACTGACGTGTATCTTTCTATGTCCATCCATAGATATTCTGTTGATACTTTCTGCATGTTTTCTGTCCACGCTCTATGTGTGTAGAGACATCGAGATGGTGTCCTGGCTGTGTGTTTTATATCTGGGCAGAAATAGCCTCACTTGGGCAATGCAGGACTCATTCTGTACGTAGAATATACACAACCTACAGATGATGTAAATGAAATGAAGAAAGCTTCCGCTGAGCAAGGTGAGGCTTTTTTGTTTCTATGTAAAATACATAATGTCTTGTTTATGTGCCATTCACAAATGCAGAAACTCAGCCAGACTCTTCCAAGTGTAGGCAGTGTCTTGGTTTAATCAGTTGTTCTGTCACCCAGTGACACCTCCCCACCTGAGAAGGGGAGTTGGGAAAAGGCAAGGAGACCCCACTCAGATATATAACAACAAAAGCAAACTTCAAAGCAATCTGTGGTTTTACATGATAAGATCAAGTGTTACTACTGGTACATCAGGGCTGAAAAAAGTACATATGACCAAAGTTCTGTGCTGGAACAGGCAGAGACACAAACAAGCTGCACTATCCTGGCAGACTGAAGCTGTCTCTGTTTAGGAGATATTTGTATTCTTCTGGAGGGAGGAACTTGTAACTCCAGGATATTTGAGTACTGATCGAAACTACTCTGCTTGAGGCACAGATGAGACCACTCAAGACACTCCCCAGACCCTCCCATGTCAAGGGAAAAGTAAAAGGAGGACATTTCTTTTTGTAAGATGCTAAAAATCCTTGGAAGGGTCCACCCACTCTAGATGAACAACCTGTGAGATGGTAAATGAAATTCAACCTTTATTAAACCAAAGCAATCTTTTTTTCCCCAAGATATGATGTGATATAAATTAACCATATGAACAAAAGAAATGGACCTACCATCACCTCAGAATATACTTCAAATCTATGTGCAGTTACCACCAAAACCAATGGTATTAGGGTGGGGGCAAACAGGAAATTATCAATACGGTCTCTGTCAGAATGGCACGTGCAGGACTTGTAACCCAAACCCCAAAAGAATGGCGTAAATTAGAGAGGGCCTGGAACTAGGGATAATGAGAACTACAATTTCATACCAAGGAACACAAAGGTCTTTCTAAATGAGGTGAACTAAGAGCAAACAAAATTAAGCAACCACCTAATTTAACTCTAGGAATATTTCCTGAAACTGAGCAGGACAGGACAGTGTCTCTTTTTCACAACCAAAAAACCATAACTCTTCTTCTACACTTTGCTGACCACCCTACACAATTAAATTATTTGCAGCAGTGAAATACAGAAACACAGAGGACAGAAATTATGTGTGTGACCGCAGAACTAATTTTCATTCTCACAGTCGTCATTTTGAATGTGAAAATACGACAGAGGGTTCAATTCAAGAATTTTCCTGACATGTAACTGCAATTAGAAAAGCAATTTTACTATCAGTCTCTAAACTAGATTTTAGACGAAGCTAAATTACTTGACAACTATGTTTACTGAGACAGAGAAAGCAAAACCATACAAATGAAAACGTGATGTGCAACACTGAAGAACACTCAACTCCAAAAACCACTATTAGCAGATCATCTCTCTGTGATTTCCTACAGATACATCAGCACCCAGCACAGCAGTAACTCCATCTCACCATTAACTTTGTCAGTCTTGAGAGGAGACATCTCTGGACATGGGAACAGACTTTCAGTCCCGTGTGTTACTCAAACTTCTAAGGAAAACTTTGTAGTGTTAATGTTTTAGCCACCTATCCTGGCAACACAGCTGCACTGAAAAAATACATTAAACCCAAACATCATCTCTCTTTCAGACCCTCACTGAAAGCAGTGCTACGTCCAGTGATTACATCCCTGGGACACATCAAGAACTAAGCAACCCAGATGAAGCTTCATCTCCCTCAACAAACTTGTGCTGGTGCTAGTTAGAAGAGACAAATTATTGCTGACTGTGCATATTTGAGAGAGAGCTAATGGCACGAAGAAGTTACCCATTACCTTTCTTGTGATGCATTCGTTACTGTCTCCTCCAAGGCCTCTTTGAAAGCTGAATTTGGGTGGCATGGCAAATAGCAATACAAATATTGTTTTAAGCCAAAAATCTGTACTAGCACATTTCCAGGTAAACAGCAGGACTCATAGCAGCAGGATCGTATCAATCTGACCCAGATTCTCACTGTCTTCAAGTCTCCACTGTTCAGTTCATATCACAGGCTCTTACTTCAAATTCTAAGATCTCCAGAGTAGAGCACACTGATACAGTAATGCTTCCAACAGGCTACACAAAACAAACTTAAGAAAAGAAAAAAGCCCAAACAAACCCAGACTCACTACTAATTGTTATCTCCACACTAATCACAGCAGAGGAACACAATATGCAAATCCTTACCAGCTTACCAAGTTGCAAATGCTTACCCAAAATAGCATCTGAAAGAAATCTGCAGTTGTTTTCTATCAAAATACTTCCCTGTCAGCACAGCGGCCACAGGAAGCCTTGAATTAGACTATCCCCTGCCCCACAAATACCTTTTGTGTAGACTAAAAGTACTGCCAAGACCTTTCCAGGAGAATTTTCCATATGCTTCTTTGCAGGTAGGAGTCACATCTAATTGTTCATCCACTTGGCAAGTGTTTCATTCTTCCACATCATGCCCTTGGAGTAACATTACCAAGTGAGGAAAAGCATTATTTTTTATAGAAATAAGTCTCTTCACCCTAAAAAGCTAAAGCATACCCATCAGAGACATGCAAACACTGCAAAGAATTCATACAAAAATAGTTTATTTTCTACTCCAAGAGATCTCAGTAGCGACATTTCAAACTCATCAGAAACGAGCTGTAAAATAAAATACAAAGACTGCAAGGTAAAGCACAAATCTAGCCCTCAAAAAGATCTGGAGACTTCTTCAGCCAAGATGTGCTTCCTAAGAACATTGCCCAAGGTGAAAATCCATTCACATTTAATATTACCACATTAGTTTTTGCAGTTCTGCACGTGAAGTCTTTCTCTCCCAACGAAACGCTTCCCAATACTGAGAGGCTTTGCTTAAACAAGGATTGAGGATTCTTGTCTCATTACAATATTTTACAGTAAAACATCTGAAACACTAGTAGGCATCTTCCACCTCTCTTAAAAACCTGAGAGAGAAAAGCAGCACCTCAGGACATCCAAAGAAAGTGAGGTGAGTTAAAAATGGCACAGAGTTTGGATCAGCAGGGTTCCACTGCCACTGCCACGCTGCTTTCCAAGCGCATCAGGAATCGAGTTCACTTTGGCACGGTGCAAGAAAGCTACTGACTCCCAGCAGCAGAGATCTTCCTGTATTTGTAGATGAAAGCATCCGTCTTCCCAAGACTAACGCCATAGACACCACCTGGTACCAGAGACCCAAAACCTGTCTGTCGGGTGCTGAGAGAAGATTTTTCAACATCATGCACCAAGGAGGAAGAACTCCCATCAACATTTAGGGCTTTTGCAGCGGTGGTTTCACTTGTGCCATCAGAAATGGCATTAGGAGAGTCGTTATCAGCACATTTGGCAATGCCATCCATGCGCTTATGGAGATCTTGGCTCAGCAGCAATACAACAGTGCCTCCAACACGAAGTACTCTGGCAATGGCAGGAAAAATAAAGGTTAGGAGTTCAGCCTGCCTGGCCTTCATTTGTCTGTGCAGAACTCAACACTGCTGACACTTCAGATGCCAGCTGCATTCAATAAAACACCTAAGCACGTTAAGGGTCGTGGCTCAACTCTGTAAGCTATGTCTCCAAATGGAATTTAAATTCCCTATGTCCATAAATCTTCCTAAATGGGAGAACTGTGCCCTGTCCTGACTCCCAGACAAGTTCTTCCATTGAGTTAGCAGGGAAGATGGACTCAGTTTTTCCCCTCTTAGCATTCTTCCAAGGATTGAAATCCTGGGTTTTGGGTCTCATGAGCCTCCACCAGTCTACAAAGGAACAGATTCCCAGAGCAGCAAGAGATTTTCAGGTTGGGAAGGCAATTCTGAAGCTGGCCTTTCCCTTTGGAAACTTTAGAAGGTCTGTCCTTTCCGTGTTCCACTGATCCTTCATGGCTTTCAAACTCAGGAAACAAAGGAAAACTAATAACCATTGTTTGTAATCCATTTTTCTTGGCACATGAGCAAACATTACACTTGGCTTTGAGAGAAGGGGGGGGGAAAAAAGACTCTCCTGGCTCTGTTCACAGCAAGTGGATTGAACAGTCTTCCTGGTGGGGCTCTCATGGTCATGGTCCCTTCCTCACCTCCACCTTCAAAGGAAATATTTTGCTTAGGATGGCCCAACAGAGCAAATGAGACCAGAAGACAAGCACAGCCAAAGGCAGGGAT